ACACTTCTTTATGTGCTTGCTTCGACATGGAAATTGAACGAAATTGTGCATGCTCATACGTCAGAAGGAAAGAGATACTCCAATCAACAATATCTGCAATTTTAATACCACCATCCCCAAAATGATGTATGGATTTCTTGCTGAAAGTCAAAAATTCTATTTTTATTCACCTATAATATAAAGTAGTAATTGCCCTTATTTCTTATAAGGGAAAGTTAGACAAAAAATCCCATACCACATTTCAGAACACGATTCAGTCCCCCTCATTTAAAAAAATTTATCACTACTCCCCACTTTTTGGATTTTTTGTTTTTAATATTCACTCCCTACTCAACTGAAATGATCGAAAACTTGTTCTTCTATCGATTTCAGAACATAAAATAAATCACGCATAAGGTACCGATGCATTGTTTTTTTACTACAGTACTGATTTGTTTTTTGGGTGGTGAAACTTAATTTGTTATCTTTTAGGGTAAATTACAAACACCCCCTGAGGTATGGTTAAATTACAAAAAAACCCCTATTGTTTGGATAATTACATCTACCCCCCTCAACTATGATTTTTTCTTACCTTTATGGTGCCAAATTCAACATAGTCATCTAGATTCCGTGAAATGTGCTCTAGTTTGTACTCTTTGTGTAAAAAATACAGTTTTCGATGCACCACAAATTGATATATACAAGCTAAAAATCACATATTATGGTCATCTTGCTTCATAATGTAGAGTTTGAATGGGATAAAACGGGTACAAAAGTGATAATATTCCATATAATCTCGAAGATTCCACTAAATTTTGATGAGTTGAGGGGGTGGTTGTAATTATCCAAACAAGAGGGGTATTTTTGTAATTTGGTCATACCTCAGGGGGTGTTTGTAATTTACCCTATCTTTTATTCCATCTGATGTGTCGAAAATTAAATATCGAAAACTAATATAATGAATTTTTATAATAAAAGTTGAAACTTATAAAGACCTTTGTAAAGCTAAGAAGGGAATTTGTTCCACTTTATATTTCTTGGTATATATTTTTATTTTTGATCAATTTTGAACACCCATAGGAATAATCATAGCCACCTACCACCAAACCGGTAATTTCTATCCATTGTGTGTGCATCAGAATATGCTAAATTCAATTAATAATCCCATAAAGGAAATATTATTTCCGTTCTAGGAATTATCGGTCAATTTATAGTTATCTGTTTTAAACTTTTCATTGCAAAAACAAGAAAAAAAGATTTCAATTAATTTGTTAGTTGAATTTGACACACGATACTTGGGGAAAGCATTTTTTTCATGTGTTATTAATTTCATATTTAATGAATTTTTTAAAGAATTATTTGGGTGATTAATTATTAAGTCATGAAAGCTCAAATATTCAAACTGTTAGAGTAGGTGACCAACAAGCCAACATGTGGCTGTGGTCTTTCGTATTTATTATTGTAATAAACGAACATTTATTCGTATTAATGATAAAACACCTTGGCATTCTATATCTTTGTCCCTTTGTCACAAGCATAGATATAGTCCTTACATTTATTACAAGTACTAGTAATTGATCGTTAGGATCGTGAGATATTTACTTAAGTATTATAACTGTTAAACGTGTTCCTAGTCGAAGGGTTACGCCACTAATGAGGATATCGGCCTTTCCCATTAAGACTAGCACTTAGTGTATGTGTACTACATCTCATCAGTAAACGGTATTGTGATATCGGCATACATAAGTGGGTGCTCGTAAGTTGACGAGTTCACTGAACTCCCTCACCCTAGAAATCTCTAAGTGGTTCCCAATAATCGAGTAGAGATATCTATGGTATAGTTGTACACCATTAGTCCTTATGACCTAGACATCACCGTGACTTCACTAGAGGACCAGCTGTATTGTGACCTGTCCCTGAGTTCCACCGAGGACCATCCCAAGGGCCAGTGTTCGTGCAGTCCGAAATCTAGTGGGAGGTCTGTGCATTGTAGTCGGGGATTCGATCGCTAGAATAGTCTTGGATGTCCTGTGTGTTCTGAAAGTTTGTAATCATTCTAAGTCTCTGGCCAGAGCTGACTAAGTGATGATTAGAGAATTCGATTCTCTAAGTCATGCACGTGACGATTACAACACTTAGAACGATCGCACCGTCATCGAACATATAAAGAGGTCTAGATGAACCAATGCCTCTAGTTCGATCGGGACATATGCATCGAAGGGACCGTACTGTACGTTAACTATATCTGAAGGTTCTTGCAGGCACTTCATTTGTATCTAGGGAATCATGACGCGTAGTTGCTAGACGCGAATCTTGATTCGTTGGGTGATTAAGGTGAAACGAGTTTCATCTTAATCATAACTCTAAGGGACGAGTTTTGACCACAAAGGGTTGTGGGCCCACGGCTAGCTTACACCTGAACCATCGAGGGTCACACTGCTCGTGCACATGAGATCTTTGAATAAACGGTCAGAGATAAAATAGTTTATCTTTGCATGATTGGAAATCAATACGATTGAGTCCAACATTCGTAGTTTGGAATTACGAATGAGAATAAGAAAAGGAAAAGAATAGGCGAACGTGTTAGTGAACTTTCTAAATCGGGAAGTTTCCAAATTTAGAAAGTGCACTGAACTAGGGTTTCCACTTTTGGAAAGTTGGAAAATGAAAGATGGCACTCGTGATGACGAGGATATTATAATGATTCCGAAAATGTAATTGTTGCAATTTTCCGATCATTGAATTGAGAGAGACGAGCAAGTAAAGAAACTAACGAACTTAAGCTGTTGGGCCCAGTCCAACTTAAGCCCGTTAGGGTTTTATGCAAGGGACTATAAATACTTGATTTATAGGCCTTGCACACAACACAAGACCTAACCCTTACCCTAGCCGTCCACCTTTCTCTCTCGGCCTCTCTCTCCCGCGGCCACCTCCGCCGTCAACGCCGCCGTTTCGCCGGAATCGGCCGTTCGTCGGCCGATTGTTTCGGTAGCTTCTTTCCTTCTCTTTTTCTTCCGTTTTTCTAACTATTACGTGTCTAGTGCCACGTGTTTAGTAGATCGAAGTATACGAGGTGAAATCCGAGAGGAGGAAGACCGAAGATCGAAGAGTCGAGGAGCAGCGCACGAGCCGAAGCCGCACGCTGCCCTACGCGCCGCCCCGGAAGACCGGGCGTGAGTTTCACGCGCCGCCGTGGCCGTCTCGCCGCCGCTGCCGCTGCACCGATGCTGCCCCGATTGTACGGATTGGTTTCCGTAGCAATCTTGACTTGCTTAGCGCTCCTACCTCACGCTTCAAGAGGTAAACACACGAACTCGAAGTTCTTGTTTCGTTTAAACGCTATATATATTCATGTTTGCTTTCGTATGATTTTATGTGATTATGTGTAATCGTTTTAAATCATTGCGAGCATGTTATTTGGTTTAAACGCGAGCATGTTAATTGATTTAAATTCGGTTAAATTAATTAGCATGTATGTTGTTATTTAATTTCGCTGGAAGCGCAAAGGTACGCAATTAATTGATTAATTTGTCGGGCATGTGCTTATGTGTTTTAAAGTCGTTTAAACCGCATCAAATTTTTGTTTTCCGCTGCGTACGCGTGCCCGAAACCCAACAGTGGTATCAGAGCTCGTTGCGCAATTAATTGCGTTCGTTTTAATATGCTATGATTTTATGCATGTTCGATTTATTAAAGTAGTGATTGTTGTATTATGTGATTGGGAGTTTTCGTAAGTTTAAAATATTTTTGAAATATTGTTTAGAATTTTTCCAACTTTAAAATTGTTTGAAATTGGAAAAACGGATCTGAAATTATTTTTTAAACGTCGGTTTTCAATTATTCAGATCGAACCGGTCGAACCGGCCGGTTCGATGGTTGTGCACGATCCAATTGACCGAATCCAAGTGGATTCGGGTCGGTCAGACCGGTTCTCGGTCCGACTGACCCGGCCCACTGATTTGGGTCAACTCGACCGGGCAGAACCGGACCGCTTCGGTCCGAACCGGTCAGACTGGTCGGCCGAACCGGTTCACTGAAAATAAAAAAAAAAAAAAAAAAAATTATTTCAGATTTCTAAAATTAAACTTTAAACAAATTGATTTTAATTTTTGGAAAATTATTTTCAATTAATCCCAATTAGATAATTGGATCAACAATCATCTATTTTAGTAAATAGGTGTTAGATTAATTAATTAATTTAAATTGTTAAATTGATTTCAATTAATAGAACACATTCATAATTTTGATTATGGTTCAACTTAATTAGTAGTACCTCAACATTATTTGAATGATTTATGCTAGTTGAGGTTCTATAATTATTTTGAAAAATCGATAATTAATTAATGTAATTGATTATGAAATTAGGTCGTATGTTCCTCTTAGGACAATATGCGCTTCCATATACCTTTAGAGAACATAGATGTAGGAATCACATAGACCAATCCAAAACCTTCTGATGAGATAAAACATTTTAATAAAAATCCCTCATTCTTAATTCAATTAAGAATCATTTCAAGCTATAAAGAAAAACCCAATCTGTTGAGTTATTTCTTTCCTTCTGCCAACGGTTGGATTATGTGTAGCCCTTTACTATAGTGCAGTAAGCCGTGTTAGCGGGGAGTGCTATGGTAGAGTAAGTTGTAATTCAATTGACATAGTGATGAAGGTAGCCATAGAAAAGGGTTATGTTGAATTAACGTGCACTACAACAAAATGTAGCTATTACGACATATGATTGGGGACATATTTTTATAAATGCCTCAAATATAATTTGTTGGGACACTTGATAAAATTTTCTTATTTATAAGACATATAGGGGCATTTATTTTTTTAGGACATATTTTTATAAATGCCTCAAATATAATTTATGAGGACACTTCATTTTTTTAATTATTTTGAAAACCTATAGGGACACTAATCGAATATATGCAATTTATACAATAAAAAAATACAATATATGCAATTTACTATTCCAAACACAAGAGAAGATGGCTTGGTGGGCCATAGTCTTAGCCCTATACATATACAAATTACGGAGACACTAAAAGTATACCGCCAAAGTTTTACTTCGCGGTATTTTATTTTCCCCCAATTCTCTTTCCAAATACACCGTATTTCTGAATAAAAAAACCCTATTGTACTTCTTCCTTCCAACAACGACGGTCTTCATCTTTTTTTTTTTTTCTCCAGCAACAGCGAGAAAGAGAAGATTCTACATCGAGTTCCGGAGTAATTTGGGCACTGATTTTTCTTTACGGTAATTGACATTGAAATTTATCCCTGCGATTTTTAATTCCCAGTAATTAAATTAGAAGCCCTAAATCGGGATTTTGTAGTTTATATAAGTTTGTATGTATGTATATGTATAAATTGAAATAAGAATATGCTAGCAATTAATTCTCATGCCAACCTTTGTGATTGTTCGAAAAAGAGGTTGGGAAATTATAGGAGAAAAATACTAGTTTTTTCATAAAATTTCTATAAAGAAATTATTTGTTTTTTTGGACATGTGAAGAATAATGACTTTTCTAATGTGGTACCCTTTTCCTTTTTGATTCTTTATTGGTGTGATTTTCCTAGACAAAGCATTATATATATTATTATCTATTTTATCTTACATCCCTTTTCCCTGTATAAATATATGTTTCTGTAATGTCATATGTGTACTTAATTTTGATAGTATTAGCTATGATAAATTTTTCTATAAGTAAAAAGTACAACGTCGATAATTTCAATGATTTATTTATCTTAAACTACCTAATTGTATATTTCGTGATTCTACCGGGCATTCGCTATAATATTTATCCTACTTGTTATATCTATTTTTCTTTTGGGAGAAGTGATAAAAACATATCTATGTTAAATAATTGTAGGGGTTACGCTTCACTCTGAAGCTTTTGATCGTGGAATAAGTATTTCGGCTGTTCAGGTTCGTGTATTTTTATCACAATGATGTTTTATTTTTTAGTAAGGTACATTCAGACTATCATAACCTTCTTGCGTAAAATATGTTCTATAAGAGGAGTTTGGTATAATAAGAAGCAACATCTAGGGTGACATATATATTTTTAGCTAGATCCAAACTTATCAGTACCATTTGTTAATGTTACTACACATAGAACAAATGATTGTTTTGTATCTCTAAATCATTGGTTTCTTAAAAGCCAATATAGAAGTGTTTTAATATTTTTTTTTACTTAATTTATCTAACTTGACATTACTATATATATCTCTTGAGTTAGAGCTTGCATAAGGTGCATGTGTTTTCTTATTAGAAATTTCTTATTGACTAGTTCAGGTGTATGTATAAAATTGTAATCGTGATTTTTAAGGGCACTGTTTAAATTTTATGAATGCACTATTTTTAATATAGAAATATGTTTCTTTTAAGATATGCATTTTGTTAATTGCATATTATTTGGACTGGTTGAGCGCATTACATCTACTAACTTGGTCATAATCAATTGTGAGATATGCATCTCGATTTTTGTTATCTTGTTACAAGTCGCAAACGCAAACCTAATAATTATTTGGTTTATAAGTCTGACGAAAAAGGTTTGTTATTACTTTCTTCCCAACCCTTTTGTTTTATATTATTATGTAATGGAAATTATTATTACTTGAAGCACATCTTCCAGTTCATATGAGTATCAGTTCACATGTTTATTTGTTGTTAATGTGCAATATTTTATTTTAGTAGGGTCTTAATGGATAAGAGTTGGATGGATAAACCAAGGTCTACAAAAGTATATAAAAATGGGTTAAACCAATTTCTAGACATGGCTTTTGCTAATGTATGTCTCAATGGAAAAATGAGTTACACCAGCTGATGTTTATGGGGAAAAACATAGCCGTTCTACGCTTCTTAGGAAGGCCATGGAGTACAAAACGAAGTATTTGGAAGCAATGAAAAAATATGATACATTGTCAGCAAACGTTCACGTATGTCAATCAGATGGACAACTTGAAGCTGAAAGCTTTCCAGAACAAGAAATTGCTCCTGAAAAATCTCCAATCACGACTCCAAATGAACAAGATGATTCTTGTTATGTTCCTAATGCATTTTTAAGTGAGCAAGTTGGTGCTCAAAGTCCTTCGTATCAGTTTCAAATGAGGAACACTCATTTAGAACAAGTTCACTTTCTACGTCTATCAAGGTAACAAAAATAAAACATTTAATTTGTTATTAACATATATATAATTTTTTGTATATATTTGATGCACTAATTATCAAAAACTCGTTCACAGGGTGGTTCTTATGTTGTTTTGAAAAGTCTTGAAAATATGAATGAAATAGTGGCAACTGGTATAGTGGACAAGATGGACCATATCAGCGTAAATGGAATAGATTTGGGGCCCGACTTTTGCCAAGTTGTCATTCAATATCCGGTAAACAAAGATGCAAGATTAGTTTTACCCTATAATCATATTCAAACCATATCTACATTATCGTCTTTTGTTGATGCTTAATATTAACTTATTGGGAGATATAGATTGAACTTGTTATCTCTGTTAGTTAATGTTTGTTGGTAAATCTTTTAGTTTTGCTTTACTTACATAATATTGATACTTAAATGGACCAAATGCATGGATATTTTTGATATACTCTTGAATTCAACCATGAACAATACAATGAAATATAACTACCACTTGATCATTTTTTTTCAATTTACAACTTTGAATTTTTAAGTACATTGATGGTGACCTTAAAAAATAGGAATATAAATGTCGGCAAGAGTTTGATTACGTAGACAATTGATTTAGTTTTTTTTTTTTAAATCTATTTTATTTATTGGTTTTCTTTTCATAGGTTTAGTTGATTTGGTAGTCCTTTTATTATTCTACTCTTTTCTCTTTACTGATGGTGAATGAATTTGTTGATATATGTAGTAAATTTGTCTGAATGATGATAATATTTTACTATTTCTTTATAATTAATACATATTTGTGTACATGCAGGTCGCTTTGGATGATGAATTTCATTATCAATAAAATCAAGGCGATGGGGGTTGATCATAATTTGAGTTCGTAGTGTAGTGCGAGCATATAATGATTTGGTAACACGATGTTTTTCATCTTTTTTTTTTCAAATAACTTAGGACACTGAATTTTATTCAAGATTTTGTCTCACTATTGTTTTGCTAGAGAATTTCCCGTATCTTTGAATATTGTTGTTCTTTGGAGATTGATTATACTAATACTTTGCCTTCATTGTTGAAACTTTTGAATGTTAACTTTTTATTTGTTATATGCACGTTTATTTTCTATGTACATTTAAAGTGTAGTTATAGCATGATTTAAATTGTGCATATGGACTGGAAATTTAGTTTGGATACTATCATATGATATTCCAAAAATTAGTTGCGACATTTGATATTACCCATTTAATAAGAATTTTGAGCATCCTGTAATATATATTTGAATATTTTTAAATATTGTAAAATTTATTCGATTTAAAAACAATTGTGCCAATAAGATTTTAAGGGGATATTAAAAAATGTTCTTATAAGTATATTAAGAGACAATTATAAATGTCGTATTAATATCTTTTGGAGACACATATAAATATCTCTTCTCTATAATAAGTGTCCCAACACAGTTTATTTGTTACACGTATTATATAGTTAGGAGACATATATTTGTGCCTCAAAAATAGTCTTTTTGGACATATATAAGTGTCTCGAAAAGAATTTGGTTTAAGGGCATAAGTAAGTGTCCCATGGGCTATTGCGACACACAACTACACGACACATATTTTGTTTGCCCCTAAAACTATAAGTGCCTCAATATGGTATATTTTGGGACGTTTATTTGTGTCCTTATAAGCATATTTTGTTGTAGTGGTGGTCGGCTAGATTAACTAGGGACTGCATTAGTTTGGCATAATCGAGTTCTATGAGCATCTTTGATTGGTAGGTTAGACTTGACACACGACGATTTTGATATTCGCGAGATTAACTTAGGTCATTATCAAGTGTGAGGAAAATTAATTTAGGGTCATATTGTGGATATGATTGATTGTGATCTACCTTTGGGCAAATATAATCGGGCTAGATTAACTACGGGTTATATTTGTCTATTGGACCTAAAGCCCATTAAGAAAAATCAGTTTTCTCGTTTGTCTACTAGAGGGAAGTGGAACTCGATAAAATTAGTGGGAGAACAATTAAATAACATAAGTCCAAACATTTAATTGTAACAATCATTTAACGCGAATCTCTAATGATCCTCTTCTCTATATGTCTCAGATAATCATGTCTAAGAATCCCATAATGTCAATCCTCGAAAATAAACTAAATGGCCCAAATTACCTAGATTGGTTGCGTAGTCTTAAGCTTGTACTAACCGTTGAGGGGCGTCTCTATGTTTTGAACGAGAGACTTCCCGCCACTATACCTGACACAGCGACTGATGCTGAGAAGGAAACTTATGAAGTTTGGAAGAAAGATGACACTCATGCTAGGTGCTATATGATAGCCGCCATGGAGCCCGCACTTGCGAGGAAATATGAGTCTCACTTGCATGCTTTCGATATAAAGGCTCATCTCGATAGCATGTATAGTGAGAATATTAGGGCATCGAGGTACGCTGCTACAAAGGAGTTGATCACAGCGAGACTGCGCGAAGGGACTTCGGTCTACGAGCACTGTCTCAAAATGATCACTCTCCTTGAAAAGCTAGTGAATCTTGATGTCACCCTCCCGACCGAGCTCTCGTTGGATTTGATCCTGTTGTCCCTTCCTAGTTCCTATGAATTGTTCATAGTGAACTTCAACATGAACAAACTAGATCCTCCCTTGGATGAGTTAATGAACATGTTGGTCAGCTTCGAGTCCACCATTAAGAAAGAGAAGTTTGTTCTCATTGCTGCTACTTCTGGAAAGAAGAGTTCTTTCCAAAAGAAGATAAAGGAAAGAGTTCCATTCCCAAACAGCAAGTTCGAAGTGGGTGAAGGTAGTGGGGGCCCCAAAGCAAAGGTTAGCAAACAAGTTGATGATGCTTGCCATCACTGTGGAAAGAAAGGACATTGGCGCCGCAACTGCAAGGCTTACCTGAAGCAGAAAGGTTCTGAAAAGGGTACGTATTTCATTGACGTAAATTTGTCTGTCAACTCTTCTTCTTGGGTATTGGATACGGGCTGTGGCTCACATTTGTGCAATGATTTGCAGCTAATGACAAGAAGTCGAAGACTTAGAGCGGGTGAGACCTTCCTAAGGATGGGGAATGGAGCAAGAGTTGCTGCTGGAGCCATTGGCACAATTTACTTAAATGTTTTGGATTCTAGTTTTCCTATTGTTTTGAACGATTGTTTATTTGTTCCGTCCCTCATTAGAAACCTTATTTCTATTCCTATATTAGATATTGAAGGTTTTACTTTTGTTTTTGGAAATTCGATTTGCATTATACAAAAGAATGAGAATTTGATTTGCAAAGGACGACTATTAAACAACTTGTATGAACTAAATCCAAGTGAAATACCTATTAATGTTATATCAGCAAAACGTAAGGAGATAGATCAAAACCCCGCACAACTTTGGCACGCTAGATTAGGTCATGTCTCTTTAAGAAGGATGAACGATTTTGTTAGTGAAGGATTGTTCTCTTTGGAGGACGTGAAATCACTACAAACTTGTGAATCTTGCCTTAAAGGGAAAATGACCAAGTCACCCTACAAAGGGAAAATGGAACGAGCCGAGGGTCTTTTGGATTTGATCCATACAGACGTATGTGGTCCACTAAGTGTTAGTGCGAAGGGTGGATATAACTACTTCGCTACCTTTACCGACGATTATTCTAGGTATGGGTATGTGTACTTGATGAAGTACAAGTCCGAAACATTTAAAAGGTTCAAAGATTTTAGACACGAAGTGGAAAAGCAACTCGGACGAAGTATTAAGAAGCTGCGATCCGATCGTGGTGGAGAATACTTGAGCATCGAGTTCATTGACTATCTAAAAGAAAATGGGATACAGTCCCAATGGACTCCACCGGGAACTCCTCAACTTAATGGAGTACCCGAACGTCGGAATCGAACTTTATTAGATATGGTTCGATCAATGATGGGGTTCACGAACTTACCGGCATACTTGTGGGGTCATGCACTTCGTACTGCCGCGTATTTGCTGAATAGAGTTAACACCAAAGCAGTTAAATCCACACCTTATGAACTTTGGCATTCCCGGAAACCCAACTACAAACATATTAGGATATGGGGTTGTCCCGCTTATGTGAAGCGGTTAGTGGGAGATAAGTTGGATAGTAAATCCGACTTGTGCTATTTTGTGGGGTATCCCGAAGACTCAATGGGATACGAGTTCTATTATGTCAAAGAAGCAAAGACGTTTGTTTCAAGAAATGCCACCTTTTTAGAAAGGGAGTTTCTATCCGATAGAAAGGGCAGCATGATAGAACTTGAAGTAGTTCAAGAACCACAAAGTGAAGTTCAAACGCAAGAACAAGAAATCGAACCAATACAACAAACCACTAATATACCTGCTGAACCTGCGGTACGTAGATCCGAAAGAGTTCGGAAAATGCCGGATAGGTTATTCCTCCTCGAAAATGATGAAGATCATATTGGTCTTGGACGAGATCCAAGAACATACAATGAGGCCGTATCGGATGCGGACATGGGACATTGGCTAACTGCCATGAAATCCGAAATGGACTCCATGTACTCCAACAAGGTGTGGACCTTGGTAGATCCACCTAAGGGAATTGTTCCTATAGGCTGCAAGTGGATCTATAAGAAGAAAATTGGAGTGGATGGAAAGGTATCGACCTATAAAGCTAGATTGGTAGCAAAAGGATACACTCAAAGGCAAGGCGTTGACTATGAGGAAGCCTTTTCACCAGTCGCGATGCTGAAGTCCATTAGGATTTTGCTGGCCATAGCTGCGTGGTACGACTACGAGATATGGCAAATGGATGTGAAGACCGCCTTCCTTAATGGAGATATTGAGGAAGAAATTTACATGGCGCAGCCGGAAGGCTTCATATCTTCTGGAAGTAAGCAAAAGGTTTGCAAGCTCCAGCGATCCATTTATGGATTGAAACAAGCATCCCGAAGTTGGAACATTAGGTTCGAATCAACTATCAAAGAGTTTGATTTTGAGAAGAATCCGGAGGAACCTTGTGTATACAAGAAGGTTAGTGGGAGGGCAGTGATATTTTTAGTGCTTTACGTTGATGACATTCTACTCATTGGGAATGACGTAGGAATGTTGCAGCAAACGAAAGCATGGTTGTCCACACGTTTCTCAATGAAGGATTTGGGAGAAGCATCTTATGTATTAGGAATACGCATCTATAGAGATAGAGCAAGGAAGATGCTTGGCTTATCCCAAAGCCTGTACATAGACACCGTTATGAAACGGTTTAGCATGGAAGAATCCAAGAAGGGATTCTTGCCAATGTCCCATGGGGTTCG